GGAAATGAACACGTGAACTTCCTTCATCCTAACAGGGCCACCCTTGCCCCCATCAGTTATTCGCTAACAAATCGGTTCTGCCTCCACTGACTCAACATCATGACCATAACGTGCCTTTAAATATGGTCTTTAAGACGTTACAGTCACCACCTCTGCTGATCTGGGCTTTCATTGTCTATTCTGGGCTGTATCTCATCTTAGTGAGATCCCATGGGACTTCGCAATTAGCAAGGATACAGTGGTTTGATAATCAGAAGTAATTAATGGCATCAAAACACAGTCCTGGCTGTCTTTGAGGACTTGTTACATACATCTATGTCTTTTAAAACGAGTACTTTATTCTTGTTTGAAAAATTACCTACCTCAAAAATGCTATTTGGAGAGAAAACAATTTAGCTTAATGTATTGGTACATTTGAATTGACATTGGAAAGCTGACTCCATGAGCCAATTGGCAATAAGTTCTTAATCCACTAATAATTAATAATTTGAAACACAAAGGAACACTGAAGCTGCTCTTTGCAACGACATACACAATGTATAGTACAGGCATTTACAGTCTTCCTTTTAAAAAAAAAGTTAAATTGTAAAGTAGGGATTCTGTCAACTGTCAAATGAAAATTTAAGAAAAATTATGGTTATTTTTTCGTTCAGAGTTCTCATTTAAATATTGCTGAGGAAAGGAAAAGAGGAGGGAGATACTTTATTGTAAGTGTTCAATTTACCATGAATCAAACGAAAAAATAAATTCCAAAGTTCCTCATAGTAAAAAAAAAGAAAAAAAAAAGTATGGGTTTCAGTTTAAACAGAGAAAAACATCTTACTGAGAGCTTCAGATTCCCTTTAATAAACCTCTGCTTGGGAACCAGCAGTTAGCGTAAAGGCTATGTCGCTGGATTCCCACGTAGTCGACCGCAGTTCGCGTCCCGGACCCGGTGGCTTAGAACTCACGCCGGGCGCGTGTGCGTGCTTGCTCAAGATCCCGAGAGGAGAATGGAGGAGAAGGGATTGCAGCGTGACCATTCCCCCTGGGGGAGGATTTCTCACTTTCTGTCTCTATGTCTCTCTCTGTCTGTCTGGTGAGTGCACGCACCCTATAGTGAAAAAACCTCTCAAAAAATAAAAAATAAAATAAATAAAATAAACCTCTGCTCAAATCTCATTGATGAAGTTGATTCTTTTTCGTATCAGTAGGGGATGGGGAGGGAAGGTTAGAAAAGGAGAGATGTGGGAACCAGCAGTTAGCGTAATGGCTATGTCGCTGGACTCCCATGTAGTCGACCACGGTTCGTGTCCCGGACCCGGTGGCTTAAAACTCAGGCCGGGCACATGTGCATGTGTGCCCAAGATCCCGAGAGGAGAATGGAGGAGAAGGGATTGCGGCGTGGCCATCCCCTCTGGGGGTTGATTTCTCGCTTTCTGTCTCTATGTCTCTCTCTGTCTGTCTGGCGAGCACATGCTCCCTATAGCGAAAAACCTCTCAAAAAAAAAAAAAAAAGAAAGAAAGAAAAAGAAAAGGAGAGATGTTTCCACATGGTTGAGCCTTCCTCTCCTCAGGAGAACTTTGTTTTTTAATTGATTTTCTTTTAAAAATGCCCTCATTTTCAGACAGACTAGATCTCAGCCCACATGAGGTCTTTTCAATCCTCCACATCTGTAATTCATTTCCGTTTCTTAAAAAATTGATGATGTTTGCTTTAATGTCAAAATCTCCCCAAGCACAAGGGACACTGTCTTCAGGCATCTCGGTATCATTACTTATGAACTAACACATGGACCTCTCCATGTGGAGAGGTTTTTGCTGTAGGGCGTGTGTGCTCGCCAGACAGACAGAGAGAGACAGAGAGACAGAAAGCAAGAAATCACCCCCCAGGGGGGATGGTCACGCCGCAATCCCTTCTCCTCCATTCTCCTCTAGGGATCTTGGGCATGCACGCACACGCGCCTGGCCTGAGTTTTAAGCCACCGGGTCCGGGACACGAACCGTGGTCGACTACGTGGGAGTCCAGCAACATAGCCATTACACTAACTGCTGGTTCCCTTGTTTGTTGTTTTTGAGAACAGAATATTACTGGCCCAGCCACGGTGGCACAAATACAAGGAGGCTGTTATGTGATGGCTGAGGCCACATGGAAAGCCTGGTTCAGTTCCTGGTGCAACCTAAACAGGCCAGGCGTGGCAGCACGTTCCTGTGGTCCTAGTTAGTGGGGATGCTGAGGCAGAAAGGATTGGAACAGGGTGACACCCTGTCAAAAATACTTCTCTCTCTCTCCTTCTTGCTCTTTCTCTCTCTCATTAATTAAAAAAAAAATAGAAGAGAGAGAGAGGAAAAAAGCATTGCTGGTTGCCTAATGAAGCTAAAGCTACCTTTCTAAAGTAATGGCACCCATGTATGTGCTCTGCCATCAGCGCTTGAAAGACACCGTAGGTCTTCACAGCACGATGCGTAATAAAGGTTCACCCCTCCCCTAAAACACATTAGGAGTCTTTAATACCTCAACTTCCAGGAAGTCACTTTTAGGCCCTGGGAAGATTTAGACCAGGGACCTTTCAGTATCTCACACGTTTGTCATCTGTAACACGTTCCCATTCTCTCCCTGTCCTTCTTATCCACCTCCACACCACAGTTAGAGTGATCTTAAAAAATAATCTGCTTGTGCCCAATATTAAACTCCTCAGTGCCTTCTTGTGATACTAAGAAGAAACTCCAGGACCAGCCCTGTAGCACAGTGCCTACCCAGTGTGCACTGGGAGCCAGATCCCACAGGGTTGATTGTGGTTCGAATCCCGTGTCAGTGACTTGAAGAGCATACCAGGCACATGTGCATGCTTGCTCCAAATCCTGATGCGAGGGTGGAATGGAGGAAAAAGGACTACGATGTGACCAGGCCCCACTGGCCATTGCCGAGGTACCTCCCCCCACCCCTTCTCCGCCTGTCTCTCTCCCTCTCTCTCTCTCTCAGCAAGTGCACATGCCAGGAGGGAGAGGAGAAAGGAAGAAAGATGGAGGGAGGAAGAAAGAGAATAAGGAGGAGGAGGACAAGGAGGAGGTGCCATGCTACCTCCCACCTCAGGGTCTTGGTACGTTTCCTGGAAATGTTCTCTGTTGTCCTCTGTAGTCGGCCAACTTGAAGTCATTGTTCATGTCTCAGCATAAAAGATCCTTTAATATAAAAGTTTTCCTTGGCCTCTCTCCACACCTAAATAAAGTCTAATATAACCTTAAAATATTTGTATAATAACTTGCAAATTTGCATTTGCCCATTCTCATATTAGATTCAAATATGCCCATTTCTCGTATTAGACTGCAAACTTTTGAGGACAGGCACTAAGATTTTCTTTCACTTCTGAATTGACCAGCATAATGCTCTCTTATCATTGAGATTTATTGAATACATGAGTGAGATTCTCTTTAAGTCCCTAGACTTCAGGATTTCAAGTTCTCATTCCCAAACTGGCATAACTGCCCTCTTTCTTCTTCTCTCTGTTAAGCCTATCTCCACTCCACGTTTTTATCCTTCCCCTCACCACACACAGCTACTTACTTCCTTAGCATTTAGAGCAAGGACTAAAAGGGCTGGTAATAAGAAGTACTGTATGCTGGTCATATATATTCTAGCCTATGTCTACCAGGGATGACGACATAAGATATCATTAAATGGCACATATGCAATGAAAGGGTTATTTCAGATTTTAGAGCAATCTATTTCAAAGATACCATGAAATACCTCCATGAGTTCAAGATGAATTCAATAAACACGTATAAATAAGCCAAAGAGCTACTTTGCCAACATGGAACGGAAAGGGTCATTAGTTGCAATAGAATAGTCCTATTTCCAGAGAAAGTTCTTACAAATACTATGCACCCTCTTGCCGTACAATATTGAGAGACAGATTTGGAGGTGAAAGGTTAGATTTTGATGCTAGATATAAATCTTTCTAGGAAGACGAGGAGGAGAAAAGGAGGATAAGAAGGGGACGAGGAGGAAGAAAAAGAAAGAGAAGAGGCCCAGTCTGGTGGTGCAGTACGGAGCAACCTGAGCCGCAGTGCTGGAAGCCATATGGCTGACTGGAGGTTCAGATTCTCAGGTCAGCCCGAAAACGAGATAAGCATGTGTAGGCGTGCCCAAGGTTCTAGGAGCTGGAGGGCTGTGGGAGGGAATCACGGTGTCACAAGGCTTTGCAGAGTGCTACTCTCTCTCAGTTTCTCCCTCTCTCCAGTGTGCATGCACACGCTCTCCATCATGAATAAAATTGACTTTTTAAAATTTATTTTTTAAAGAATTTTTAAATTTTAATTTTATTCATCATTGTTATGTACACATGCATGTATATATTTAAATTTAGGCAGAGAGAGATACAGAAAGAGAGAGAGAGAGAAAGCAAGAAAGCAAGCTGCCAGGTCCAGGACTCGAACCACGGTCAGCCACGTAAGAGTCCAGTGTACCAACTACTACACCATCTGCCAGCCCCATAAAAGAGACTTTTAAAAAAAAAAAAGAAGGAAAAAGGAGAAGCAGCAGCAACAGCAATATTGGCCGTGGAAGATAAAGACCCATCATAAGCCAATTATTGGGTTGTCGGAAAAGTCATACTGTCTTTTTCTGTTTTTCTATGCAAAAATGCATCATGACTTTTCTGACAAACCTATAATTAGACAGTATTCTGAAGAACACTATGTGTGCTTTATTTATTTATTATTATTATTTTTTTAACTGACATACTGGCGCTAGCAGGTGGTGTGGTGGTTAAGGAACTGGACTTCCACACAGCCAACCATGGTCTGAGTCATGGACCTGGCAGCTTGCCCTCTTTTTTTCTCTTTTCTCGCTCTCATGAGTGCATGTGCCCTGTAGCAAATTAAATAATAATTACAAATAAAATAAGTAATTCTTAAAAAACCGACACACTGGGTTGTTGGGAAAAGCCATGATACAGTTTTGCAAAAAAATACGACCCATTATGTTTTTACATACATTCTCAGCCTTGCCCCTTCGCCCTTACACATTTTCCCCCATCTATCCCATCTCCCACAAGAACCCTGGATACGCCATAGATGCAATTTTAGAGCTCATGCTCCCTCATGAAGACTGAGACATAATGTTCTCAAGGTTAGCATAACCACACAGAGAAGGAGACAGAACAGAGGTCCCTTGTTCCCATCCACCAAAAAGCTAAAGCTACAAACAGAAAATAGTGGGGGAATCCAAAATCCAAATTTTGAGTGGACTATGTTGCTAGCTGTGTTCTTCTGGGACTTTTCTTTCGGTTGCCTGGCAACCCATAATCCCCACTCTTTATTCAGAGAGATGCTCCAGACTTCAAGACCAAGAAATGAGTAGACTTCCAATTTTCTTCTTGGTCTTGCTTCCAGATGAGTTGTTAAAGATAGAATGGTGGGAGCAGTGAATGAAGGGCCCGCTGATGAAATCGTTGAGACAGTCATTCATTCATTCAATCACCAAGCATTTACTGAGCTCCTGTTAGGTTGCTTAAGTGCTGTAGCCATAGGGACAGGTCGATGAACAAAAGATCCCCCATCTTTACAACCTGAGACCTGCACAAACAAAATAATTACACAAATGATAAAAACGACAACCTATGGTGAGTGCTTGGAAATAAAACTGTAAGCGCCCATAGGAAACTATTAAAGGGAGAGGAGACTTTGTCTGGATGTTTGGGGATGAATTATTAATAAAAGAAAGACGGGGTCGGCCCTGTAAGTACAGTGGTTTGGCATCAGGAGCCGGATCCCACATGACCAACCATAGTTTGAGTCCCAGACTAGCAGCCTGAAAAGCACATATGCACATGTGTGTGTGTGTGTGTGTATGTCTGTGTGTCCCAAATCATGCTGAGATGGAGAAAAAGAGGAAAAAGGATTGTGGAATAACTATACCCCAGTCGGGGTGGGGGTGGGCTTTCTCTTTCAATCTCAGTCTCTCCCTGGGTAGCGCAAGTACACTCTGGTAGTTAAAGGAAAAAATGATTTTTTTTAATATATGTATTTTTGAGGGTTTTACTATAGGACATGCCTGCTCACCAGAGAGAGACAGAAAAAAGAAAATGAGAAGTCACCCACCCTGGGGTGACTGGTCACCCCACAATCCCTTCTCCTCCAGTCTCCTCTTAGGACTTTGCATGCATGCACAGGTACCTGGTGTGATTTTCAAGCCGCTGGGGCCAGGACTCAAATTACAGTCAACCATGTGGGAAGCCAGTGCTTTACCCACCATGCCACCTACTGGCCTGGAAAAAACATTTTTTAAATAAAAGAAAGATGAACAAGTATAAGCAAATGAGGGTACCTCCCTGCCACAACAAAAAATTAAGATTTCTAAGGTTACCATGCGGAGAATGAGTTGGATGGCAGCCAGAGTGCACATGGCGAGACAAGTTCATTGGCAGGTGCAGCAAACCAGGCGCGAGACGCTGACTGTCCGGGAGGGAGGCAGGCAGCCCTGGTGACATGGGAGCTGCCTCGCTCCCACTTTCCACTTAGCTAGGCACTGAGGCACCCTCCAAAATGCCTAACCATACACAGAGAAGCTTTTCTTTAGGAAATCTCTTGAGAGACAATGTTCTTTGGTAGGGCCTCAAATCTTGATTATCCTGAGCAACTCACTTATTTTTTTAGCTCCAGGATCTTTGTGAGACAATCAGCAATTATTATGTACTTCTTAGGTTGGAGGAAAAAAAAAAAAACTCAAAAACAAATCTGAGGCCCACCTTCACTAAAGATACCAAATTTGCCAATTTGCCACTTTGTGGCTAAACTCAGCCTTCCTCTCAGCTTACCTGACTCTGATCTTCTCTTCTTTTGAATTTTTTTCTTTTAAGAATTATTTATTTTTCATTTGCTCTAGGGCATGTGTGCTCAATAGAGAGAGAGAGAGAGGGAGAGAGAGAGGGAGAGAAAGAGAGAGGGAGGGAAGGAAAGTAAGAAAGCAAGATGCCAGGTCCAGGACTCAAACCACAGTTGGCCACATGGGAGTTTCATGCCTTAACTACCACATCACATGCTAGCGCCGACTTTCTTGTTTTCTTTCTTTCTTTCTTTCTTTCTCTCTCTCTTTCTTTTTTTTTTTTATTTTTTTTTTTCCTGGAGAGGTTTTTTTGCTACAGGGCGTGTGTGCTCGCTAGAAAGACAGAGAGAGACATAGAGACAGAAAGCGAGAAATCACCCCCAGGGGGGATGGCCACGCCACAATCCCTTCTCCTCCATTCTCCTCTCGGGATCTTGGGCACGCACGCACACACGCCTGGCATGAATTTAAGCAGCCAGGTCCGGGACTCAAATCATGGTCAACTACATGGGAGTCTAGTGACCTAGCCATGACACTAACTACTGGTCCCATGTTTTCTTGAGTATATGTAATTTTTAACACCTATTGCTACTTATCATTTAACAAGGTTCATAGGAAATTATTTTTTAAATCAATCATTTATTACTTACTGATTTTCTCATTAAAAATATGATATACATTCTTTAGAGAAATTTTCTAAAATAAAGGAAAGCTCAAGGAAGAAATTTAAAAGAATCTGCAACTCAACCACAAAGAGTCAATATTTGTTAACATACTTGCATATCACCTTTCGATCTTATTTCTATATTTATTTCTATATCTATCTATTACCTTGCAACTTTTCCATAGCAAATAACATGTGCATGTGTTTGTGTGCACGCATTTGTATAAATCTCTCAGGTCCTTTGAGAACAAGAGATACAGATCAAATGATAGACAGATGCTTAGACAGACAGGCACTACAGTAACTGCTCCACGACTTAAACCCTAGGTTTCTTCTTTAACAACATAAAAACTGCCTCTTCCCAGCTGCTGCGATCACCAAGTCACGCCCCTGCTTACTCAAACAGAAGCACTCCTTTGGCCAAGGGATGAGTGACAACTTGGAGGTTATGCGATTTCAGCCTTTCCACCCCAAGTCCCGAGGGTATTTGGGGTGATGGAAGACTGACCCCAGGTAGAAAGTAAACACTGGCTATGGCCCCATCCCATGCCACCGGACAGCACAGTACATTACAAGTGTGGACACAGCAAAATTAGACCGCCAGTGGAAATGACACCTCTCTTAGCTTTCTTGTTTCTAGTGGCCATTTGTGAACAAGAACGTGACTCTCCAGTTACATCAAGAATAGATTTTTTTAAATTGCAAACTAACCTGAGTCCAGTTCCCTAAAGAAAGGCATCTCCATGAGCTGCGATCGTTTCTGCTCTGCCTGCCTTCCTACACCTGCTGCTGTTAGCACCTGGAACTCAGGCAGGAAAGTCCCGTGACCAAAGCACCTGCCATCAGATGCTCGGCCCTGCCCGTCTCCTCTGCTCACCGGGGGGTATTATTCCAACAGCGCAAATATCTGACAGCATATTCAGACTAGGTGGTTTCATTCTGGCAACATCTGCATGGCTATTTTGTACGGAAACCCACAGAACCTTGTGACAGCTATCCATAGGCCTATCTCAACCGGGAGCGTGTTCTTATCACCGAAGCTCTATTATCAAGAACTAAGCGTTCCACTGGAACTACGTATGCTAACTAGGAGACACAAAGTCTTCATCTCCCGAGCTCCAACAACCTGGCTTCTTCCCTCTGCTCCTCTCTTCCTCCCTTCCTTTACTTTTATGTGAGATAGAGAAAGAGGGAAAGTGAGAAGGCAAGCTGCCGGGTCTGGGACTCAAACTGCAGTCGGCCATGTGGTAGTCTAGCACCTTAACTACCGTGCCACCTGCTGGCTCAACATTAGACAGATTTTTTGTTTGTTTTTACTGAGATATATACAGTTGTTTTAAAATAAATAATTTGGTAGTATACTGGTTATTTGTAGAGAACTTTACATTCCAGACTCATCACAAAAATCTTCCTATTCTCTTTCCCCAATTAGTCCAAATGTGTTCAGAAAAAAGCCATTTTATTGTAATATTAATTCGGTTCAACTTAAAAACGTTAATTGAATATCTGTTTTGTGATAGATCCTATTTTAGGCACTGGGAACTCAAAGAAAAAAAAAAAAAGGCCTGAACTCATTCTCACAAATCTCCCAGTATTAAAAATATCTCATTAACCCTAACTGAGTGACATATCTTAACTTTTGCAAATTATATACTTTCATTATTTAAAAATATGAGATTTTTTTTCAGTCTTATGCTTTTTTTCTGATAAGTCTAATACCTTTTGCTCTCTGATGCAGAGTGAAAAGGTGAATGTGTCTATATGACATACTTTCAGGAGTATTGTTTTAGTTCACACATTCCTTTTCTACACACACGCACAACAGTGCAATACTTTAAAAGAACTGATAGGTTTTACTTTTGTTCTATTTATTTACTTATTTATTTATTTTGGAGAGGTTTTCACTATAGGGTGCGTGCGCTCGCCAGACATAGGGCGTGTGCGCTCGCCAGACAGACAGAGAGAGACAGAGAGACAGAAAGCGAGAAATCACCCCCCAGGGGGGATGGCCACGCCGCAATCCCTTCTCCTCCATTCTCCTCTCGGAATCTTGGGCACGCACGCACACGCGCCCAGCGTGAGTTCTAAGCCACCGGGTCCGGGATGCAAACCGCAGTCAACTACGTGGGAGTCCAGCGACATAGCCATTACGCTAACTGCTGGTTCCCAACTCTTATTTTATTTTATTGAGAGATTTTTGCTATAGAGTGAGTGCACTCCCCAGAGAGATAGAAAGCAAGAAATCACCCCCCAGGGAGGATAGCCATGATGCAATCCCTAGTCCCTTCTCCTCCAGTCTCCTCTTGGGATCTTGGGCATGTACGCTATGTGTCTGGAGTGAGTTTTAAGCCGCAGGTGCAGGACTCAAACCACAGTTGACTACGTGGGAGTCTAGTGACATAACCATTATTCCATCTGCTGGCCTCAAGAACATATATTTTTTAATGATTTTTTATTTAAATTTATTTATTTAATATTTTAGTTTGGCCAAAGAAGGATAGAGTGAGAGAGAGAGAAAAAGGAGAAGTGAGAAAGCAAGCTGCCAGATCTGGGACTCAAACCACAGTCGGCCATGTGGGAGTCTAGCACCCTTAACTACCATGCCACCTGCTGGCTCTACTAATATGTGTTAAAAAGTGGATGGCTATGATTTCAGCAGAGAACAAGCAAGTATTTTTTCAAATCAAATAGAAATTACAAAGACAAAATTACAGTAACTGAAATTAAAAATTCCATGAATTGGCTTAACAGCAGATTATACACACCTAAAGAGAAGATTAGAGAATTGGAGAATTTTTTCACAAATACTGTATATCAAGAGTGAAGAACAAATTTTTAAAAAGATAGAAAATACAAAATAGACAACTACGTGCAAGAATTTTATAGCTAAATTTTAAAACTAGTAAAAGATAACAAAGATCTACATGAGCGAGTAGATGCATAATGCTTATGAAGGGAAGATGCCACATCATAAAGAGGTCAACTTCACCCAAATTTATCTCTAAATACAATGCCCTTTCCATTAAAACCCTAACTCTGTGTGTGTGTGTGTGTGTGTGTGTGTGTGTGTGTGTTTATATATTGACA